AGGAAGTCTGCCATGTACTCTCCGCATGTACTATTGCTTGGGAGAGGGATGTAGCTCAGCTCGTCCGGCCTGCATTGTACCTCAACACCCCATGACACAGGCTCAAGAAGACCTTGGATAAGGTAAGTGAAGGGGTCCAACCAATATAGCCAGTACCTCCAAAATGCTGTGATCTGTGAATACGGAACCACAACGCCGCAAAAGTTGATTAAAGCCGCCCCAATGATGATGGGGTTCGCAAGCGCCGCGAAGAAAGCGTTCGGGCTGTAGGCAGCGATGGCTTGGCCAAGAGAGGTGTACAGGAACTCGTAGACTGAACACAGTTTGCGTTAGCATGGATAGGCATGAACGTGGGATACCGATGGCGAACTCACGGATCATCTGGAGGTAGACTTGTCCCGACACACTGGCCTCGGTGGGGAATCCAACAGTAAAGTACCAGGTCACAAACGCCAAGGTTCCGCAGATTATCAGAACGGGCGTTTCTGACAGCAGCTGCGCAGCTACGAATGCGAACCAGTGGTAGGTTTTGGATTTCTTCTCGCGCGTCTCGAAGACATCCCGGTTGCGGATGAATAGGGGCTGTAGCTGGTTGATGCATCCCGGGGCGACGAAGACGAAATTGAACACCGCCATCAGTCGGAGCTGCAGATCGAACGTGCCGGACCCGAGCATGTAGAACGTAAAGCCACCAAAAAGCCCGTTAGTGATATGCAGTCCAATCTTATTCCACACGTAGTCTGGGTTGCGCCAGAGAGCAACCAGCTGACGAAGGGTGACAAGATAGACTTGATAAGAAATTGGGGTCGCGAAGCCAGTGTGCTGGTCAAGGTCATTTGAAGTAGTAGCCGAAGAAGAGACTTGGTCTTTCTCCTGGCTCTCTGCAGAATTCAGGGCATCCAGCTCGGACATTGCAGATTCTCTCTCGGGAGAGTCCAGCCATGTCTGGGGCCAGTCGATCTCCGTTCCGAAGCGACCCTGGACGACATCGACAATATGCTCAGCAGGGTTTGAGTCCGGAGGACAGGGCGCTCCATTACGGCCAAAGTAGTCGATCACTGTAGCAGAGTTCTTGCCCGTCGGCCCGAAGTACGTCGTTCTTCCTCCACGTGCAAGAAGAAGAAGCACGTCGAAAGCATCGAAGAGGGTTGCAGAGGGCTGGTGGATGGTGCAGATGATCGTCTGACCTGAAGCAGCAAGCTTACGCATGAAGCGGCAGATTTCGTAAGCTGACTGACCATCAAGACCAGATGTAGGTTCGTCGAGGAAAAGGAGAGACGGTTTGGCGACGAGTTCGGTGGCGAGAGTGAGGCGCTTTCGTTGCTCGATAGACAGACCTGATCCAGGGGCTGGCGGAATGAGTCAGTAAGTGCTCGAGTTCCATGGTCACCAATGGACATGTAACTTACTGCCAACAATAGCATGTTGCAAAGGCGTGAGTTCAAGGAGGTCCATAATGCTTCGAACATAATCTTGCTTCTCCGCGTCCGGAATTGTATGACTCTGACGCAGTCTTGCCGAGAAAAGAAGGCTCTCCCAGACTGTTGCTGTGGGCTCGTGGACATCGTTCTGCTCGCAATATCCAGTCGTACGTTGGAAGCTAATTCCTTGCGGCTTGCCGTTGACCATAATGCTGCCATCGATGCGGCCACTGTCCTTTCTCTGCGCCAAGACGTCCATGAGCGTCGTCTTGCCAGCACCGGAGCTGCCCATCAACGCAACAAGCTGGCCTGGCTTGACAAAGCCTGACACACCCCGAAGAAGTTGCAGATCTTGACCGCCGTGACGAACGAAATAGCTGATATCCTTGAACGTAAAGACAGTCCTGCTAAGGGACATGGGTGACACATCCTGGGAAGTTGGCGAGCTACCCCCCTTCTCCTCGTCGGCAGCCCGGACCATCTGCTTCTGGCGACTCCTTCGATCGAACAAAATCTTCGAGCCTGCGTCGGTGTGAAGATTGACTTCGAAACCAACAGCCGTCATGAATGCAAAGAAGATCCAAAGTCCGATGAGAATGCCGGCATTACGCCAGATGTGTGCGCGATAGACCGAGTACTGAGCGTTCATGTACCTCTCGCCGTCGATAAGCGAAGAGCCGGATGTGGAGCCACGGACGGTGCAGCTACGGAACTGATTGTCGTTGTAGCTAGGCCCGAACGGGATGTACTGAGGGGCGACACAATCAAGTGCGAGGTCGCCCATTTCCGTAGCCATGATGGCCTCGAAGGTATATGTCGCTGGGTTGAGCCATGAGATCCAACGGAACCAGACAGGCATGCTAGGCACGGGAATGAGGTACCCTGAGACCAATTAGCTGTTGACTCTTGTCTCTTTAGTGAATGCAACTTACCAGCGTAAACCATGCAAACCATCGTCGTCCATCCCGTAATCTGCGATGCAAGGCCGAAATGCTTACACCACGCCCCGATCATCCGGAACATTGACGCGAAGCAAAGTGTGCATAAGATGAGCACAAACCAGTTGGTGAAGAAGTGGCCAGCGTCCCTCTGGAAGTTGACGATGAAGTAGTAGACTACTTGGAAGAGTGAGAAGAGCACAACCGTCATTGGCACATCAGTCGCTGCACACGCCAGAGCGTATGCCCCAGGCCGGTTGAAGGACAGGCGCTTGTGTCGGGAGATGATGCGCCGCCCCATGAAAGATGCCGTGGTTTCAGACATTTTGTTCATGGCAAAGAGTTGGATGGGAAAGAAAAGAGCGCCGGGCCTCAGGAAAATGGATGTGCTGTCGTCAGGGAGGTCGTAGAAGAGGCTTCCAGTCACCAAGGCCATGACAAGAGCTGAAAAGATCTGTAGAATGTTGGACCATCGATCACCCCACATGATCTGGAATTGTCTATGTTTTCGTCAGCTCAAGCAACGACCTCGAAACACAGCTGTGGTTGCAGACATACCTTTTAATGCAAGTGCGGACTTGACTGACAAAGGAAACTTGGTAAGGGCTTCCTTCGCGTGAAAGAAACTGCAATGAGCGGTTCTTCTCCTGATGCCGAACAGCGAACAGATTATCCACCTCTTCTGAAAGAGACTTTTCCGATTTCGCGTCCATCTCGGTCGACATACGGACGTAGGTAGGACTGGCCTTATAGGCAGTTTCAAACTCAGCCGCAGTGTTTGGGATCTTTTCTTCAAACCCAGGTCGGATCTGGCGTTCTGTATGGACTGAAACCGAAGTGAGGAAGTCGGAAATATTGGCTCCTGGAGTGCACTCAAAGCCCATGTCCTCAAAATACTGCTTAGCCTCGGATGTGGGGCCATAGTAGATTTCTCTGCCTTCGGCAAGAACAAGAACCTTGTCGAAGAGATCGTAGATGCCATTGCCAGCCTGATACAGAGTCGAAACAATTGACTTTTGCTCTTCGTCTGCCATCTTTCGTAGGACACGAACAAAGTCCAACGCATTACTGGCATCCAAGCCTCTCGTCGAGTTGTCCCAACATTGCACGGCAGCCTGTTCTCTCACGTTAGTAGTGCCAAAGGCGAAATCAAGCCGAGGTCAACTTACCTGCGTTGCCATAACTTCAGCGATTGAAACCCTCTTTCTCTCACCTCCCGAAACGCCCCGAATCACCTCATCACCAACCATAGTATCTTTTGTGTGGCCGATCGCAAGGGAGTCGAGAATCGTATTCGTCTTGTGAGAGACCCATTCATCGCCATTGGAAAGATGATCTGGTCTTGTTGCGGGAAGCTTTGTTGCATTGGCGAAATCGAGAGTCTGTTTGACCTCCAGAGTTGGGAAATGCAGGTCCTCTATGAAGCAGTTAACTTCGCTGAACTTCAACTCTCAGACAACAGTAAACTTGCCTTCGGTATTCATGACGATTTGATTCCGAAACTGCCGGGCCCCCTTTTGGCCTAGGTTGCCATATCTAACATCTCCGCTAACGTGGTGGAACTCCTCTCGTTGGTTGGAGATGATCTTGAGTAGTGAGGTGCAGCCAGAACCAGGTCGTCCGAGAACCAAGAGCTAAAGTTGTGTAAGTAGAGCGTTGCATAGACGAAGGGTACAGACATCATGTCTTTCAACATACCATTTCGCCTGGACAAACTTGACCTGAGATGTTTTGGAGAATATTCTTTCATTTAGGTAAGTTATTACTCTCGTGAATATGCGGGATTTGATACTACCCTCTCAGACTTCTTGCTCTTGCCAAATGGAATCAAGTCGCCAAGAACAGACAGGCAAGTAGAGCCAAAGTCTTCGCCCATACCATGAACCCGAATGCTCACATCTCTAAAGGTAACCGTCAGTCCTGTAGGAGAATCCGATGCCCCACTCAAGCTGGGCTCGCCTTGGACCGTCTGGTCACTGTCGTATGCTGGGAGCGAAGTCATCGTGCATCGACCGGAATTAAGAACATAGGTGAAGGCAAATCACGATGAGCTGGGGATGGACAAGGCGCAGTTTGAGTTTGACATTTTACCTATATACTATCGAGATAATATGCTGATGAATCAACTTGGCAATCAGCCTCCACCCGGGATTCGGCGGTGATTCCCATACTGCCTAGTTGGTGATGTTGTCAGGTCCGGCGGTGGGTCTTTTTGGTACATTCGGTGGCGGAATTACGGTGTTTCGGGTTTACGGAATTACAGTCTGCCGCTGCGCCGACTCCTTTTCACATTCCATATCCCACCTTCGACGACCACACTCCGAATTCAGACCTTTTCGCATCGGATTTGAGGATTTATCTCTACGGATCTTTTCAATCGAGCCCAAATTCCTTCTTGAATCTGCTTCCGGTTGATTGGGGCTGCAGGGCTTACGTCTTCGGAGAACTCGGGATGCGATCCACAGTGAAGATCCCTAAGGCGTGCGAGCCGTGCCGTCGGCGCAAGATCAAATGCTCGGGTGACAAGCCCTGTCAGCAATGCGGGAACAAGCCTTCGGACTGCATATATCGCCTCAAGCCACGCATCAGGCTCTCTGCGCGACACAGCAGGGCGGCGAAGGATGCCGGAGCCGGGGACGGCATGTCGGCAGCAACGCCGGACCATGGCCCGTGTGACGAGGCCGTGTCCCGGCGTCTAGCGGAAGACCACCAGCAGCAGGTGGCGCAGACGGAGGTCTATCACAGCGTTGCTGCTGCACATCATGCTCCGAAGTCGACTGATAGTTCCCGGCTTTACTATGGCCCCTCATCAAACTCGGCATTTCTGCAGCAGATCCATCGTGGACTTCTTTCAGGGCAGTACGGGCAGAATCATGGTCGGGACGTGCAGGAGGGTGGCCCGGGGTTGGACATGTTCATGCAACGAAACATCTTCTTCGGCATGCCGCTCAAGGTGAATGTGGAGCCTACGCAGCCCGTCAGCTGCCCCATCCCGATAGATCAAGCAAGGGACGTCATGCAGCAGTTCAAGATAACGCATCTATCGACACTGCCCTTTTTCACGGATTCACAGCTGGAAGAGACACTCAGCAGTCTGTACGAGCCGGGCCCCGAGTCAGATGTTCAGCCCCAGCGAAAGGCGGTGTTGCTCGCAGCTCTTGCCCTTGGAGCACTGGGCACACCGCAGACCGACGTCGCGGAATCACTCTTCATCCATGCCAAGAAAGAGGCCGTCATCTACGAGGACTCTGTTACATTGCCTATGATTCAGTATTCCATGCTGTTGGCTCACTACCAGCTCAACATGGGGCGGCCTAACTCGGCATATCTTCACATGGGAGTCGCGAGCAGGAAAGCCCTTGCGATGGGCCTGCACGTAGGAACCACGAGCTCCGTCTCTTGCCCTGATGAGATCCAAGCTCGTCTGATTACTGTCTGGTCGCTTTACTTTCTCGAGATGTAAGTCAACTAGTACTTGTTGATTCATTGCAACCGAACAACAGGCTGACGCTGTGCAGATGGCTGAGTCTAGTTGTCGGGCGACGAAGCATGGTTGGAAAGGCAGACTTTGCCTCTTGTGCATTCCCTGACGGACAGCCGACGATGGTGGCTCTGTGCCAATTCGCAAGCATTATCGAAGAGGCTGTGGAGTCGATTTATAACCGCAGGACTGACTCGCTCCGGCAACTTTATGGAAAGGCCGAAAAACTCCACGCTCAGGTCCGTCAATACGGCGACAAGTGGGGCCTTGGCTCCGTGATCCCGGCGCAACAGGAGGTGTGGAATGCCGAAACATCACTGCTAATGCACAACGGTATGTTGCAGAGTATCCCGTGATCATCGTCTCCGTTCTGACTGGCTATAAGTCTACTTCCATGTTATTTTGCTCATCTTCCGCCCATTTCTAATAGCTGAAGCTGCTCTTCAGTCTGGGAATGGTGCCGGGCAAACAGGCGATATTTGGCTTAGACAGGCATGCAGGCATGCAACAGATGCGGCCCAAGACGCATTGGCGTTCACTAGCAGTAAGCTTCACGGGCCTGAGGATTGCAACGTGAGTCTTTCCAATTCATCTGACGACGACAATCACTAACGCGCCTGTCAGTCGCGCAGGTATCACGCTTTCTTCATCGAGTCATGTTGCGCAGTTCTCCTTTACGACAGCCTCCGCCATCCGGCCAAACATCCACACAACCTCGAGTACATCCAAATGGCCATCTCCGGCTTACATGCTCTCGTCGGAGATGACCCCGTCACAAACGCCGTGCGGTCCATCAAGAGAATCGTGTGGGCGGTCGAGAGCTCCATCAACGCGTCAAGGACTACCCTAGACGGAGGATCCACAGATTCGTCTCCTTCATGGGCCGGCGACCGGTTCCCAACGAGCATACAATTTCCTTCGCTCGATGAGAATCGCGCGACGACCTCGGATGACTTGATTTATTTCAGCAATAGGGGGTATCGCCAGCAACCCGAGCCGTTGCCTCAAGACTATGCAATGTCTTTGCCGGGAACGGCACCGGGCTTGAACCCGTTTCCTGATCTCAACTTTGATGTGTTGACCACGGATCTGTTCAACTTCTTTCCGATAGATATGAACGGTACACCTTCTGGGCACGGGTAACCTAGATCACGCAGTTACGTTTGACAGCCATAGCTATTGTCTGGGGGTGTAATGAAGAATTTTTCGCTCTCATCGTCGCCGTCGCCGTTGTCTTTGCCTCCAATCGCTTATATTTTCGTAGTCTATCGTCATTCGCAACAGTAGGTGTCTGAGTTACCTCCAATCAGTAGTATCCAATCTCATCGGATCTTCTTCATCGACAATGAATTTGTAAGGCAGAAGAAGTCTGACTTCCCGGTAGCTAATTGAATCCGAAACATCAGATGAAATATAAGCTCAGTGATGACTCGATGAGCAGATGAGCATTGTCCTTTCCAAGTCGGCTCTGTGACCCAGACAGCTATCACCGCAGGTGCCGTCCTGTTTCACGTCGTTGCCTCTGCCCTCAATACGATTGTTTCCTTTGTTCCATGCCATTTTATCATCTTTCTTTTGTTCGCTGATAACGAAGGCCATTCTCCTGATCGACGTTGCTCTTTCTCGTCCCATTCTTCTATGCCTTGCCTTCGGACGAAGTATCCTTGAAGGTTAAGCTTAGTCAGTCTCAAAACTTCTCTCGGGTATTAAAGATGAGAGTTTAGAAGGACTCACATGTAAAATCTTCCGATATTCCGCACAAAATGGTTCCGATTCCGATCGCACTCGTTTATAAGTGTACCAGAACACGGCACTGACGTGGTCGTGAAACTTTGCCTACCCTTCTTTTCCTCCACCAAATTGCCTATTAAAGCAACCCACTGTCCATCTGAAGTTGAAGGCTTGGGTCGAGGCTTGCTGACAGCCTGGGGAATCTATGTATGCAACTGCCGAAGCAACTGCCGGTGGGCGTGCTTGGGACGGCCTTCTCTATCCGTGCTGTAAAATGATGCTGATACCGACGACAGTGATTCCGCTTTGGGAAGTTTGTTTCCATACGCTTAGAGCTCTCGAGAGCATAACACTGTCATGCATTGCTCTCTTAACTGCTGTGGAATTCCGTTGAATCGTTCGAGACATGAAAAGAATTGGTGTAGATTATAAGACTCATCATATCAAACTTAGGTTATCCCGCATAACACAACATGACGCCTAGCTTGCTTGAGAGAGACAAACTATATTACAAGCTCGACATTACCGATAACCTGCCCCCCGGAACAGACAGCATTGAACAATTCGAGCTTAGCCCACGACAACCCCGACCACCTCCTAGACCCAAGAGGCCCGTCCCAGAATGGCCTCCGGAAGCAGAAAGAAAGGGGAAATGGATTTGGAGGTACCTGGACAAGGTGGGTACCCTAAGCATCCTATCCGTCGTGGATGCACTAACCGTGTGATTTCCCTGAAGCTTGACCCTGACACGGAATATGACCAAATCATCAAGACAGCAATCTTCTTCATGGCCAACTCCTTCGCCTTCTCCGCCGGCTATGCCTCCACCTTCATCCATCTCGTCCAGACGCCCGCCGGCGCCGCTGCGGTCCACCACACGGCCAAGGCCTATCGCCGCGGCCACCAGCGGTTCTTCGAAACGCAGGACTACTTCCTCGACTGGATGTGGTACGGCAGCGGCTCCGACGTCTCCCGCAAGCGCCTCGAGAGCGTCAACAAGATCCACGCGAGCGTCTGGAAGAACGTGCCGGGCGCGTACAGCCACCCCTGGGAGGGCGAGATGGCCATCATCGGCGCGGCGTACTTTGAGACGTACCTGCGCAAGCTGGTCGGGGCGCGCCGGACGGAGCCGCATCCGAACGTGCAGCGGGCGTGGCCGGAGTGGGGCGAGCGGGTGTGTGCCCAGCTCCGGACGGAGCCGTTGGACGGGTCTAGGAGCTTTGGGGTGAATTTCCCGAGGACCTGGGAGGAGGTGGAGGGATTTTATCTGTGGTTTCAGAGAATTCCTATGGAGAGGTATACGGATGAGGAGACGAGGCGGAAGGCGCACGATGCTTCGGAGGCGTTTATAAGGCAGTTTAGTGTGATGTGGTTCCCGAGGTGAGAGTCTCGCTCAGTACTGATTTTGACGAACTCGCAGATTTCTGACAATTACTAGGCGTCTACAGTGGTTTGGCCGACAGGTGGTCTTGACCGTGATACCAGCACCTATTCGCGAACACAACGAAATCGGTCATCCGAATCCTGTCGCGGAGACACTCATCAAGTTTGCTATCAAGGTTTACCTAGACATGAAGGATGCGTTGCCAGACCCTGTCAGGTCGGATTTCTCTGATGAGTACCATGCGGCCAAGGGGGTGAACTGGAAGAAGACGGATATTCAGACCGAGGCTGAATGGACGCGTCGAGATCGGATCACTGATGCCATCTTGCTGACGATCGTTCTCGTTAGTGGGATGTGGACTTTGTGGCAGCTCCGTATCTTCAACATCTAGTTGGTATCAACACCAGATTAGGGGCGCCTCAACGACCTGGTCTTAAGTGTAAGTGTATTGCACTTAGGTCTTAGTAGAAAAGATGATTAAATTATGGTTAAACAGTGTCATTGAAAGTCTTTGATTATTTGTTTTGTGCTACCTCAAAGTGGTCGACCACTTTTCGCGTATGCTCGCTATCGTCGTTTCCTTTGTCGTCGTCGTCTTCTATCGTCCTCATCTATCGTCGCCATCATTATCGCTACCCTCATTATATTTCTAGTGCTGTTATTCTTATTGAATTGTAGATGCGCTACGTTTAGAACTGTAGAGAAAACTACCCGGATAGCTAACTAACACCTAGCAAAACTCCTTGAAAAGTTGCTCATCTTGTTGTCCGAGCTTGGGACTGTGATTGATGCCTCGTGAGTCACGCCTCCGGCAAAGCTATCTATGTAGCATAATAGCCGCTGGCGCTTGACTAGAATTGGAATGCTCGTCGTCTATGCTTGTCAGATTTACAAATTTCGAACATGGAGCATCAATAGATCAAGGCAAGTATTCACCAGCAGCGCCTCACAGAGTGTGTAGTCAGCCAGCTCAGCTACACCATCACCATGGATCGTGGTTGATGTCGCGTGAATCATCACACAAAGAAGTTCGTACCAAAGTCCAATCAAATCTCATCTCACCCATCACATATCACAGAGAGATGCTAACCCAGGGAGGCGGTCGCCCTACGGGAGGAACACACCCCTGTCCCAAGATTCTTCGAAATACCCAACGAGCCCCGACACCTCAACCTCACCTCTCCCCTCGCTCCCATCTCTCTTTTGCCTCACGAGCCAAGCTTTTGGGGTCCAAATAGCTAGATTACCCACCGTTCCCCACCGCTTTCCGAGCATACGAGACGTGCAGCTACCAGAAACACCATAACATGCTCAGCCCTGTACTGCATGCACACTGCAAAGGTGCATCCTTCGCGCCTCTACCAGGCATCTCGCTCCGCCCACCAAACACACGAATCGAACCTAGCCAACACTTTCAGCCTGCGGCACCAACCGCAGCGCGGCTTACGAATGGTAGACCGTAGCCAGCGCAGGTCGAACTAGCGTTGGGACTTTGGTGAGCTAACGCAGCACAATTGAGCCGTTCATAGTGCGTCTGACGGGACTAGCCTTTATCTAGGTTCCATACCACCATAACTGCTAGGATCGGCCGCCGCGGGTGGAGTCCTTGTTCCCAGATATCCGGGGAAGCCCTATGCCAGGGCGCGGTGTTGTTGGTGATGCGGCCGACTTACAACTCCAGGCTTCAGGCTTCAGCCCCAATCTCAACATTGCGTGTGTTGTATTAGCCTCTAGGCTGGAAGGGCCCTTGTCACGTCAGGCTGATGCCTGGAGGTTTTCTCCCGCCCACATCGCGAAACTATTGTTGACGATGTGGGATTGGACAATGGCTGTATTTGAGTAATATTGATGCCGCAAAGCCGAGATGCTTCTCAGCCATGGCGCTGTATATAAGTTAAAGCTTAGTCCGCACAACGAAAGACGACCTCTCCCATCATCGACATCCATCACCATCTCATAATCCACACCAAATAAATATCATCGATACCTCCAAGGCACCATGAGATTCGACACTCTCACGGGCACTCTCGCCCTCGCGGCGCTCAGCCGCTCCGTCACCGCCGACCCCCTCACAATCACGCTCCAAAACCGTCGTCGCGTGCCCGCCGGTCTGAAGCCCAAGACGAACGTGATGAAGCGGTCTTCGACTAGCACCGTCTCCCTCACGAACTGGTTCGAGAACTACGACCTCCAGTGGTACGGCACCGTCCAGGTCGGCACCCCGCCACAGAACTTGTAAGTCTCTACCCAAGTCCACATCTTTGATACGCACACTCGGCTGACACGCCGAAAACAGCACCGTGACCTTCGACACCGGCTCCACAGACCTCGTCCTCCCCTCCTCCTCCTGCACAACCTGCACCCAGGAGTCCGTCTTCACCCGCGCCTCCTCCAACACCTTCTCGCCCTTGCCGGGCTACAACGTGACCACCTCCTTCGGCACCGGCGGCAAGTCCATCCCTTACGCCGAGGCGCAGCCCGCCTCCGGCACCGTCGTCACCGACGCCGTCACCCTCGCGGGGCACACCGTGCCCAACCAGACCTTCCTCCTCTGCGACACCTACGCCGACGCCTTCAACGAGATGCCCATCGACGGCATCTTCGGCATGGGCCCGCCCGGCTTCTCGCACTTCTCCGAGGTCGTCACCAACGCCTCCTTCTCCACCTGGTTCTGGACCCTCGCCGCGCAGGGCGAAGTCCCCGAGCCGCGCTTCTCCATCTTCCTCAACTCGGACGTGAACGGCGCCAGCGCGCCGCTGGGCGAGATCACCCTCGGCGGCGTCAACGCGGCCCGCTACACCGGCGACATCAAGTACATCGACTTCAACATGACCGTCAGCGCCGCCGGCATGGGCTGGTTCATCGACCAGCCGTCCTTCTTCGTCGACGGCAAGACCGTCACCAACTCCTCCGCCAACGGCGCCGCGTTCCCGGGCGGCGTATCCCTTGTGGACACAGGCACCGCCTTCCTGCAGGCGCCGGACTACCAGACCGCCAAGGACATCTACGCCGCCATCTCGCCTGAGATCACGCAGATCGACCCGCTGGGCGCGTGGGGCGCGCCCTGCGACGTCGTAGAGAAGCTGGATCCCGAGCTGACCTTCACGCTCGGCTTCGGCGCGCAGGCGGTCAACGTTACGGTGCCGCGTGGCGAGTTCAACCTCGGCGAGTACCCCGGCCAGAACGGCACTTGTCAGACGCTGTTTTTGAACCCCGTGACGCCGATTAGCGACAGCGTGCCAATTTGGGTGCTTGGCGGCCCGTTGCTGAAAGGGTACTACACCGTCTGGGACGGCGCGCAGCCTGAGGCGCTGAAGTTTGGCGTGGCGGAGTTGAAGGCAAACGCGACGACGGGCGGGAACGGGACCGGGACGAGCCCGAGTGCGACGCCGACGGCCGTGAGCGGGGGTAATCTGGTTGGACCTGTTGGGTGGATGGCCGCGGCGGGTGTTGCTGCCGTTGCCTTGGCTTTGTAGAAGGGCATACTTTATCAGGTTGGTTTCACCGCTGGACGTAATATGTAGAGATAGTCGGGATATAGATCATAGGTGATAATGTCTAAGTCGTACACTCTGCCTCTTTGAGAAAGTCTGCTGCTAGCTCTGCTACTGCATAAACAAGTGACTGGATGTGGACGGAGCCTCTGGAGAAGGGGTGCTCCAGGACGCCGAGATTAGAAGGATAGTTCCCCTGAGCGTTGGCGGAGAAGAGCTCCGTCGTGTCGGAGGACAACTGAGGGGATATGCCGCCCTCTATAGTGAGTTCTTGCGCTATGGCTTCTGACTTGAGGTCGCGAATGAGAAGGCGGTATTGCTCATCCAAGCCTGTCTTGCCGGTCTTTAACCCAAGGGAGGGGTATCAAGATCAAGTGTTGGGGCATCGAGCGGGGCCGAGGTACGCATTGGCAGCGAAGCTACGCGTTACGCCGTCGATATTGAGCAGGTCGACGTATCCGCCCAAAGCCTTGACATCTCGGGGGTCACTTCTGACAGCCAGGCCAAGATTCTCAAGCGTCTTGCAGAAGAGGGCCATGTAGCCGTGGGAACTCGTTGACATTGGGCCCAGCGGTGCCGTGGGAGGCCGGGTCGACGTAGCCGAGAAGCATGTCAGTCGTCTGTTGCTTGAAGCCAGCGGTACCGCCGCCAACGATACTAACCATCGGTTAATTGTCTTTCCACGGCAATTGGAGATGAGTATTGTCCGCACATGTAGTCGAACATATCAGCCATAGCTGTGACTGTAAATGTCGTCAGAACTGCCAGCAAAGAGTGTCGCCGCCAGACCATTATTGAAGGAATCTATAAGCAACAGACCGGTTCAAAATGCCGGATGATAGCAGGAAAATAGTAAGCGCCGTACAGCTTTTCCCGTACTTATAGCCACAGAGAGAGAGAGGCTGCAGGCTCTGCATCGTGCAGCTACAATGACTGATTGGCCATTGATCTTTGAGAAGCACCTTGGCCACGGCTAAGCCAGACATGGATTGATACCGACGCCGTCTAACCAGCTTCATTGCATCACTGGAGTCCAATGAGTGTGGGCGATGAGTAAGCCATGCATGTGTTGCGGAATTCCACCATTGAAGTGGTTAAGTGTGTCGCGACAATTGAGCCCAGAACGGTAAGAGCTTATTCTGCAGTCATAAAATTTGGATGTGGAGGCCGATTCGACGTCTGAGATGCAGTGGTGTCAGCTTTGGTGTTAGTATGGAGCTTCACTATACAATGGCATAATGATTACCGGATAGGATGATAGGGACGAGGACGACGGAGACGAGGACCGCAGGAACGGTCACAAGGATACTGGAGAAGACTCTTGTTTGGATTATTGAAGGCATTGGCAACGTCTTGATAGCCTGGCTCAGGCTGGGTGGTGCGTCTGATGCGCCGCCTGTCCATGGTGTTCACTTGAACGTTGGAATATGTCTGTTGCCAACCTCAAGGCAACTGACTTGGGATACAGGGCCAATATCACCAAAGAAGCGGCATCAACCATGTCCAGTCTGCTTTGACACAGCTGTGTCTTGCGCATGTGGAACTGCGATAGCACCGCCAATAGTGTTGGCGACCTCGTTGGTTCCCCAGACCAAGGCTCCTTGAGCGTCCCTCAGAGAGCGGCTTCTCCTGCTTGCGCAGGCGCAATGAGCCCCGTAAGCCATCACCCTGCTGCTAAACACACTTGTGAAGAGATGTAACTTTTCTCATGTAGTCGTGATATGCCTGATACACCTATTATACAAATATTTCTTGATGCCGGTGTGGAAGCATCACATCCTTGGGCCTTCTCCTACATCTTGGTATACAGTGGTCTGCGTTCGGTGGCAGTCGGCTTATTGCTGGCGCTTCGCAAAGTCGGACCCGGGGCCGTAGACGAGGACCGGTCTTCGCTGCATGTTGCGGTAGGCGGCTTCGGCGATGGCGGAGTCGGATCGGATAACACTACCGATGGACATGAAGAAGCTGGGCCGTGTTAGCTTTGTCGCAACGGGAGGTAAGACTGCGCATACCCGAAAGTTGCCCCGGAACCAGCCATGTACTGTCCCAGTGTCCTCATAATGCCGTTGGGGCCGGCGCCGTAGCGCATAATGTTGACCGAGCCTGTGGGGTTTGGGTGGTCAGTCGAGAAAACGCGACAGAGGGGGGTGAGGCGGCGGCGCACCGAAGACGAAGCCCATGACAGCTCCGACAGCTATTGCTGGATTAGTTCTCGTCCGGGATTATCTTAGAGACATTGTTGACATACTGCCACCCATGAGGGCACCCATCTTAACTGCGAAAGGTCAGCGCAAGCTCCACCAGGCTGGAGGGGAAATCGTACGCTTGTCGGCGATGGAGGGGCCCATGGCGCCGGCGTGTTGCTGGGGAACGGGAGGCATTGTGAAGAAGGAGACGAGCTCGAAGGTATTCTCAAGAGAAAAGGAAGAAATTGCCGCAAAGGGTCAAGCTGTGCTAGTGCTCAACCTCGAATCGTGGGTGATGTTGGTGGTGCTGCGGATGGCCTGAATATTTGGTGGAGTCGAGCTCTCCCAATTTGCTGGAGCGTTTTCCTGCAGCCTCCCGGCGCCACTTGAGCTTTGGACGAATCCAATCCGGGGTACGGCAGTTCCTCGGCAAAAACAAAAGAGATGGTGGGGCTAGGTCTGTCCACATCTCATTGGCCGGTTATTATTGCAACGCCTTATCGACAACGATGGCACGGTCACCCGCACTCGAGCAGGCACAGGCCACCTGGAACCAGAAAATCTCCAGGTGGCCGACCGGGTCGGGTGGTGTGACGGACAGGCAGTGCGAGCCACAGTGCCGCACCGCCCTGTCTGCCCGCAAATGACATCAGCCCTCACTGTGACGAAGACGGGAGTGTCACGTGGGCCAAGGTTCTCTGTTGGTGGGTGCTGAGGTGTCCAGCGCCAAATCAGCAGCAGCAGCAACCGCAGTGAGAGAAGGGTGGGCAGGTGGACCGGACGGGATCCTCTGACGGGGTGCTAAGGTGCACTGTAAAGCAAAGCAAGCAAGCAGCCTAGACAAGGCCATCTGCCCGGTCCACGAGCCAGTCGTCAGACCAGCAGTCAGTCAGCATCCCTCTTGTACTCCCTCGCTCGCTCCTCTCTCTCCTCTTTCTGCGTGTTTTCCTTCCTTCTCGACGTCTTCGCTGCAGATCCACGAGCGAGTGCATGAACGGTGACAGCCGTCGGGGCCTGTGCGGTGCTGAATCCAGAAGGGGAATTAAAACAGAAAAGTTCCAGTCGCGGTCGCAGCTTCAGCCCAGCGCCCAGAGCCCCCCCAGTCCACCCAGCCCGCCGTTCCACCTCTCTCACTCTCATGGGCCAGGTCGGCTCCGGCGCGTGTTTCCGACTGCTGTTTGGTCCTCCTCCTCCTCCCGTCCCCTCAGTGTCCCCTCCCACTCCCAGTCCCCGGTGCAGCAGCAGCGCTGAGTGAGGTGCGACTGCGAACCAAAGTCTGCGTGCGTGCACTGGCAACGGCAACGGCAACTGCACACCACCCGCTAAGCGCTTAGCGAGACGGGGGCGAGACTCTGTTCTTTCCCAAATCCTAGATTCAACTTCACCTCCCCTACCGAGCACGTCTTCTTATCGTCGATCGAGCTGCCCAACCAGCCCTCAAGCCCGCTCCCTTTCAATTGCAGGTACGTCGAGCAGACACCCCTTGCGCTTTTCTTGCCTACAGGAAACGGCCGCAGTCCCCCGAGGCCTCGTACCCGACCGGCTGTCTCGCGCCAATTGGCTGTCCACCCCTATCCTTGCCGCGACATCATCGCTGACTTATTTTTCCTGCCAGCGCAGCCTCATCCCTTCCCACCTCCGACCGTGGCTTCATCGAGACGACATCCCATACCTCCCCATTTTCTTGCAAGCGACCACCGACCTTTTGAGATACCCAGAGGGCTGCTGTGCGAATGGTGACGGAATCCGACCCCGGCGTCCCTAGACCACCACCACCTACCACTGCCACTGCCACCACTGCCATCGATACCCTTCCATCGCCATCGCCTGCCCCTTAGTCCGACGTCCTTTGTCCTACCACGTTAACCACCACGACCGCACACCCACCCCTCATGACTGCCGTCGCGAGCCCTCCCAGCTTTCAGCAACTCAATCGGCCGGCATGGAACGTTAATGGCGGGCAAAGTCTGAATTCGATGAATCCAGAAGACGTCAGAGGCATGTTCATGCCCCGAAAAACGCTCCAGCGAAGCAACTCATCCTCCTCCGTCTCCTCGACCTCCTCAAACTCCTCAACCACCACCGTTGCTACCAACAACTCTCAACCAAATGGCACTCCCGCGTCTACAAACTCCGATATGAGCTCCTGGAGCACCGCCTCCAGGAAGCGGCCCCAGCCCAAGGCCCCTTGGCCTGCCGGCAAACCTGAAGGCCAGGGCGACTTTGGCAGGCCCGTCATGCGAGGCCCCATGAACGGCGTCAACGGGGCCACCTCTTTGCAGTCGGCACCCGGCCAGCCGCAAATGATGTCGCAGCAGGGTCTCGGCGCGAGGCCCTTGGGCGATCCCATGCCGAACGGCCAGCCCGTGCTCTACTTGCTGTCTTTGAATGGCACGTTTGAGCGCAAGACCATTTCGGTTCCATTCTATCCAGAGAGTCTTCGCATCGGCCGGCAGACTAACCAGAAGACGATTCCCACTGCTACGAATGGGTACTTTGACAGCAAAGTCTTATCCAGGCAGCACGCCGAAATTTGGGCCGATCGTATGGGCAAGATCTACATCCGAGATGTCAAGTCTTCTAACGGCACATTCGTCAATGGTACGCGCCTTTCACAAGAGAACCGTGAATCCGAACCGCACGAACTGCAGACCGGCGACCATCTCGAACTCGGCATTGATATTGTCAGCGAGGATCAGAAGACCGTCGTCCACCACAAAGTAGCCGCCAAGGTCGAACATGCGGGCTTCATGAGCCCTTCCAGCAATGTTATGGACATGAGCTTTGGAGATTTAGACCCTGCTAACGGTGGCATGATGATGCCGGCGCCCCAACCCATGCCCTATCGCGGCAGGGCAGGTAGCAACGCGTCGATGGCTAGCAATGGGCGTATGGTGCCTGCCCAACAAATGAACGGCATGCCTGCGAATGGAGGAGCCGCGCGCGGATTCTTGTTGACCCCCATCACCACTGAGCATATCGTCAAGCGGTTACACGTGAGTACTTGCCTGACATAATCTAGCGCAAGACGCTAACTAGAAGCAGAACGAGATGCGCAGCGCACGACTCCAAACCCAAGACCTCACCCGGACCGGCCAGTTTATCAGCGCCCTGCTGAGCAAAGAGGACGTGAAGGACCTTGAGAAGCCCGATGTTCCAGAGCCTGCAAAGCAGCTACCCAACGGCAATGGCATGCCATTCCGCTCCGACGGCAAGACGCGATTTTCCGATCCTCCCGCGCCTCCTCCTCAACAACCTCTTCCCGAGAAGCCTGACGTACCTTCATTGAAGCGAGGCACCACCGAACGGCCAAAGACGCACTCGGCCGCGAATAGCACCACCTCGCCAGTCGGACGCGACAACCTGCACCAGATCATTCAGTTGACGGAGGCGCTGAACAATGCGAAGAAGGATTTGGATTCGCAGACGGCTCGCATTCGCGACTTGGAGGATATGCTCCGCAAGGAACGAGAGGCAAGAGAGCTGGCTGAAGACATGGCTAAGATCCTCGAGGACAGTGCCTTGGCCAAGGAGGCAAACGGTGCGCCCAAGGAGTCCGACACCGAAACGCTCCTGCAGGAAGCATTTGAGCCTCCCCGTGAAGTCTCAGAATCCCCCGACGTTGAAATGACGGACGTCGACTCCGTCGCCAAGGAGCCGGCGCCCGAAAGCGCGGAGGACATCGCCGCTCGATTCCAGATCAAGATCGATACTATGATGTCAGAGATGAGCGACCTGAAGCAGCAGATGGACGCCTGGAGGCAGCGGTGCGAAAAGGCCGAGACGGAACGCGACGCCGACCGCAAGACCCTTGCCGAAATGGTCACCCAGATCCGAAGAGACGAGGAGGCCCGGCAGGCTGCAGCGGAGGAAAAGGCACGCTCCCGATCCCGCGGACGAACCAATGGCACCGCGGAAGCCGGCAGCAAAACCACCTCGATCGTCCAGACCGACGGATCCCAGGAGTCGACTCCTTCAGCCACACAGACAGAGGACCTCAGCGACAAGCCGACGTTGTCGCGTGCCAACACCATCACGCCGCTCTCAATACCGCCAGGGAAGCTGGCCAAGGACCAGGCGTTGATGGCCGGGGTTCCCTACGCCTCGATGTTAGGCGTGGTGATCTTAGGCATGGGCCTGATGGCGTATATCAACGGCTGGCAACCCGAGCCGACCCCCCGTCACTGACGATGGCTGCTGGGCATCCTTTCCTCTTCGCTTCTCTAGACCACATTCGTCGTTCTGCTCAGGCGTTCTACATACCTACGGCGTTTTCTTGCATTGACAGCGGTCATTCGTTCCCACCGACCCTCGTGTTGTTTTATTCCCTTTGTATCTACTACCACCTTTTTTTACTTGTATGAACGGCGAAACCTGACTGGTTTCCTTCCTTTCCTTTGTCTCTATTTTTCTTCAACCACGGGAAATTAGGGACAGGCTGGGCGGAAACCACAAATACGGAGGGGCGGGGAACAGGCGTTTTTAATTTCATGCTGTGCCCCTTTCTTGTTTTTCAGCCCCCTTTGCGCGCGTGCAGCAGCAAGGTGTTTTCTTTAAACTGTGCAACCCTTTTTGGGAAATGGGATGGGCAAATCAGGGATGACGGGATGACGACACACTTTTTTCTCCGACTACTGGGCAAAAAAAGAATTAAAATTCGATGATGAACAAATTACCTCTTTTTTTGCTGCAGAGATGGGAATCAGGCATACGGTGCGCTGTTTCCATGAGATGAATTGGTGAAGATAGAAGAAGAGCATCGCGGCTTTGAGGCTGTTGGTGTGGTGTAGAATACTGTGGAGGTTTGGTGCAGGCGTGATGATGAGTAATGTTTGCATAGTGGGAGGGACGGGAATATAAGGACCTTTAATACCTCAAATGAGTGCTCCATGATCCAAAGTGATATATGACTGGTGTGTGAGATGATGTGGATGTTGGTGTTTGGTCCAGGCTGAGGACGGTCGATGGACATTATGTGTTTGTTCGACACCGGAGTTTACTTCCTCGCGGGGTACATCGTGCCTACCTGCTGGTGAATGTGACTTGCCCTCGGTATGGACGCCTATAAATTCCTCGGTTCTTCATTCATTGTAGAAACAAAGCCCGACAATGACCTTGCTCCGAACGTCGGTATTTCCAAGTGCATCATATAACGAAAGCACATTGGGTATTGAGTTGAAATATGTGGATTCCTTCGGTATCGAGGATTGGTGTGAGGTTTACTGCAAAATGAGAACGGAATAAACGCCGAGTTGGAACAGACGATGATGATGGATGGCGACGATGCTACGGTTTGGCTTTTGTGTGAAGATGAGGGAGTGGATGGTGGGAGTGGCTTGCGAGTTGTATGTAGAGATGAGTGCCTGGCTAGAGGAAGTCAAACTAGTCTCCCATCAAATTGCCTGCAGGACAGGACTTCTTTTTGATTGCCTGGATGGGAAGAACTGTTCGTTGTGCTGCTTTCAGTACTCTATTCTCGCGGCGAGAGAGCTGAACATGGGTTTCAGCTTTTGAGAACTTGTTTGTGAAATCTTGCCGCGGGTTTGGTATGGCCGTGACGCGGGCTGCATCATGAAGCTGTTTGATGAGCTTGAAGTAACAGGGGCCTCAGACATGAGAGTTGAGGGCATGATATATAATGAGCATCCGTTAGGTTCTCTGTCGACGCGCCGTGCGACAATCCTCTTTTTTTCTTCTTGGGCAATAATCGCTCATGGTGGCTGCGAAGGATCGGGGCCAGAGTCAGCGTAGAACACAGAGAGAAATCATTCATGTTAAGGTCTGACTTCCAGGGAAGAGTGTCCAAACACCTTTTCCGCGTATACAAACTGGAGCTTAGAATATCGTGCCAGAGATGCATACGGACGACGAGGAAGCGCGAATATCAACCACAAATCAGCATCGGTGCCTGATGATTTGATTATAACGCTCAAGTGAATAGTACCGAAAATAACTTGAAACGAAACGTGGAGTACTCAAGCAATTCTGTTTCTTGGTTTCGGATTCGAGCTAGGGCAAGCGGCCTTGTTGTGTTTATCATACACACGGAACCGGCCTAAATGACCAAGTCACGATGTTGATTAGCGTGAGGCGTGGCATGTGCCTCTGCATGTTACCGCATAACATGCTCTTCTTCACTGTCAGCGGTCGAAGGCTGTGCCTAGGAACGGCTAGCATGCTTCTTGCAATGAACATTCGTCACACTAAATAACCACACAAGTATATTATGCCGTCGAGATATCAGCAGTGCAATCCGCTCGACAATCAATAGAGTCCAGCTTTTGGAGGATTGTAGCCGCAAGAGTCATCAGCGCTTTCATGAACCCACGGCTGGAGCGTTCTTAATCTAGTCCCGCGCCCAGTAATCTGTCTTCCGGCTATTAACTATAGAACATCGTGCTTCTCTTTGATATTCGTGGACGAATAAGCGGAGGATGAGGGCGGATGCTGCGGAGGTGACGGCACAGGTTAGAGGTGCCGGGGTTCGCGCTTGTCATGAGGGCAGACTTGAGGGCACGGGACTCGAGATTTCGACTTGATTCAAGTCGTGGGAGAGGGCCCTTACGATCTGTCTTGCCGCTGAAAGTTACCGCGTGAATGGCCTGCCCGTTTAAACGATGTAGACGATGCCTCTGGCGTGTTGTGCGTTGATCATGCTGCTCGACAAGCACAAGCTTTGCCACATCATCGATTTTGCTATAAATGATAA